TTCAAAGGCACTCCCTATATACAACTTCATCTTCAGATAATGTAGTATCATCATGCTCGCTTGAATGATTCTTGTTATTTTACTACTATGACATGACTTAACAAGCCAAAGTACATGTCCAATCTGAAATTAATAGAGAGAAGAGGTGCCATCTGCTATGATTGCTTTTGCCAGAAGAGACTCTAGCTTAATGGCTTGTGCTAATACATTATAAGTAAAGAACAATTTTGTCAGAAACAAGTTAATGAGTCTTGCAATTGTACCTTTACTGACATACAAGTGAGGTTTCGGAGAGATGAGGGGTGCAGGAATGTTGTGTGGTTGGGGTTTTTTTTGTTTGTTTTAAATCAACAAGGTCATAAAGTAGGAGACCACTTCAAAATTAATTCTTTTGTGATATCATTATTAAGATTAGAATGTCATTTATAGAAACTTACTAGTTTATAAGAACTACTGATGGTAAACATAGCGTTAAAGACAACTACAGCTGACATATATATGATCTCATAATGGAAAAAGGTATACCTTCCATGGAAGTATACCTGCCCTGCCTACATTCTACCTTTCCGTATCTTTCAGCCATGGTACCTCAGCAATACAAAATTTGTATAGATGCTGTATTATGAGAAGGAAATAAGCCAAATTCACTCCTTCGTAGGATATTCAGCCACTTGGTGTTTATGCAAACACTTGTAGTTAGCAAAAAATGCAATTAAAAAAGCTTGCATTCTAATAGCAACCAAATATCTGGGCTATTCAGGTGTATATAAAGAATAAAAAACTCTGCCTACTGACACAACAGCAGCAATGAACACGGGACATAGCATATGACTCAGTAAAGATCACTGGCACAGAAGACTGTTTATTTTATTATTTTATACAAATAATTTTTAAATCTCGCTAGGTTATCCCTAGAGACGCACCAGTGGCTGCTGAAAGTCAGACGTCAAAGGCGCACCAGGGAATGCACAGTTCTTGTTGATAAAACTAGCAACAATATCCCCCTGCACATCACTAATCTCAAAAGGGACCCTGCCAAAAATGGACACACCCCATCCACATCTGTCATAGTTATTATATATCTGAATATTTAAGAGGCTGAATATACTGCTGCCAAAAGTCACAGCAGTAGTGACACAGCTGCATGTGTATCTTCGAGATCTCTTATCAACAGAGGAAACCTGCATGCCTACCCTAAAGAAGCAGTGTTATATTTTATAACAGGACTCAAAAGGACAGGTTAACAGAACAAGGAAGTTACTACATTCTACCTACAAGGAAACACCACAGTAGTTCCTGGAGGAATTCTTTTCAATACATGACTTTGTATAAAATCTAGGCACCACCTGCACAAAGATAGTTACATTAAGCTATACGTCCATCTTCAGCTGACTATAAAGCCAGTATACTGAAGGTGAAAGCTTTAAAAAAATATATATCTACTTGACACAGATCAGCCTTGACTGTAGCTTATTTCTGTTTAATGTAACAGGATGGCGATGTTGGATGACATTGAGCTTTAAATACCTCAAACTAGCAGTGTTTCTCCCACTCAATTTACTTCTCACATTGCTAAATGACTAATGAATTATCACTGTCCTTCTGTCACTAATTTTTTTTAAAAAAAGGTCAAGCATTCGATTTACCAGAGATAGGCTAGGGTTTAACATAAAGTTGTCATTACCTGGGAGTATGATAAGTTATCAAAATCCTTCATAGCCATACAAAACTTTTGACTGCAGTTCCTAGAAAATTTCAGTACAAAAAAAAACCCCTTCAAAATACTTAACTATTTGAAGAAGTTCTATGCTTATTTATTTCTTCATTCAGTAATATTGCAAATAGGTGAACAATACTGGAAGTATGTTCCTGCCACAGCTATTTCAAACAGTAAGATAGCTGAGGTGTGTGCTCTGTTAAGGCGTTACAGTCATCATTCTAAATTCAACTCAAATACTCACTGTAAGAGCACAACACAAACTTGTTCCGTCTTTTTACTAATATATTACTTTTATGCAATGAGTTCAAAGCCGTAAGTACAGGAGTTTTTGTTTACTTCGGGTGCAGTAAGATTGAGGAGGAAAGTGGGTGCTTAAACAAGCGAGACAACTTAAGAGTACTTTTCCATGCTTCTGCCCTAAACCCAAAAGATATACAGGGAGCGCTGCCTCCAACGCCTTAAACTCCAACCTCCTCGAGGCTCCAGTAACAATAACTGAAAACATTTCAGAGAACAGATGGAGAGCTGGACTTTTACTGATCCATTGAACCACACAAAATTCCCAGTCAAGGAGATTAAGCAGTGTCAAAGATAATAAAATGCTTCCACACGCTTATTACCCGAGTATTACATCTGGCATTAAGAAAAGGAATATCACGTTTTTTAATCCTATTTTTGGGACAAGGAAGCAAGTTTCTTGGTTTCACACTATTAAAAATTATAAAATCTAGTATCAGCAGGCCAATTCCCACAGGAGGATTAATAGCACTAAAAGATTTTGCTGGCTGGTAAATAATTTAAAGATCATTAAAATAATATGTAGACTTCTAGTATTTTAGATTATTTCTGAACTATTAATAAGCATATAAAAAGGTAAACCCACCTGCAGCTGTAAGAATTCATGGTTTTCCAGTCCTTCAACAATCTGAGAAAAACGTTCCCTATTGTGCCTTTCAGCAGCAGTTGTTATAGCACCTAAAAGCTTGTCCAAACTAAGAGAAAGATAAACTGTCAAAAAGCGTACTACAGTCAACTTCCTCATTTTAAAGCCCACTATTTATACAAGTCTTTACTGCACTAATCTGAATGTAATTATCTACACATATATATGAAGTTGAAAACAAACCAAGAACCGAGTGTTAAAATATCTGTAGATTAATGTTAAATTAAAAAAAAGGTAAATAATTGTCTAAATTATTGTGTCATTCAGCTAAGAAACAACCAATGAGAAAAAAAAAAAATCACTACCTATGCAAGACTGTGCACTAGGTAGTAGCGGACATGTTTCACATCTGGGAATTCTAATAAATTGTCTTTTCAGAAATGAAAATGTTTTTATCTATTTATTGCATACAAGACATGGAATTTGATGTTTTTAACCTTCAGTAAACTAAGACACTCAATAATTCAAAGCAAACATACAGGCCAACTGATTATCTTTGTTTTAGAAAGCTCATGGACATCTGCAGCATAACTCCACAACTTAAACTATTCAAAACTTCAACTATAAATGTAAACTTTTTGCCCCTGTCAAATTTAGGTTTAGGTACAGGTGTTATTTTAATAAAATACATAAACATATTTACTTCTGTATTGCTAATATTATCTCCCAAACTAACAAAAAAAAATAACACATGGTGTCAAATCAGTAATTTTCAAATATAATGAATTCATCTCGCCTCCTCAGGGGTGACATCCCAATCTCTATTCCCCTCACAGTAATAGGCTCAGTAATGCCCCATGCTAACACACGTTGTTCTAAATAGTCTTTAAATCTGACAGTTTTCCTTGTGGCAATTAAAAGTTCACAATTCCTAACCATACTCAACAATTTTTTTCTTCAGCTGCCATTTATGAACAGTTACGGCTCATTAAGTGTTCTCTACAGTAAGCAATCATAGTGCTTTCAAACCTTCCACTTAAGCCACAGTTTGTAGATCTCTGCTCATTTGCTTTTGTCTGATTTAATACTGGATTAATGCATCACCACAGGTGAAAGTGTCTTTTCATTTAACCTACATTAAGAAAGTAAAGACTTAATAGGTTAGATTTGTTTCACTGCCAAGTTTTCTCACCTGTGTCCAACCTGACTACTCATACACATTAAAAAGAAAATTGTTTCAATATCTTACTTACATATTTTCCTCTCCAACAATGCAGATAGCAGAAAGTATTTTCACCGTTTCAGTCATCATATGTGGTTGCTTTGGATCAATTGCTCTTGATAACAGCAAAAGACTTCTTTCATCTCCTAAAATCCTTTGCAATCCATACTTAAAGAAACCAAAAGCTTACAGTGAAAAGATTGTGTTTTCATCATCTTCGGGCTTTAGATCCTTAGGAATCCTCACACACACATTCCGC